TCATTCTCAGCAGATTTTGATTGCCAGGACTTATGCTTCTGTCCTACACTTTATGCTTTTTGAGACAACTCTTACATAATATCAGCAACATTTTGTGCTTATAAGGCTTTTGGTTAAACTTCTTCAGGTATAATACAAAACAGTGTAGAAATTCATGAAAATGAGCAGGTGAAAGTAAAAACTCATTTCAACACTCTTTAGATTGCACTGTTGACTGGAATCCACTGGTAACAGGCCAAAATTACCTAGAGCAGATTTTTGTGAAGCTGCGTCTGTCAATACTAGAGCATTTTGAGTAGAATTGCGGTTGAGGATAGGTCATCTCTCTGCACATTTATCTGCTCTAACTATTTGTTTTGAAATAAGCACTTTGTCATGAACTTCATTCAGAGCTGATTCTAGGATGTCATTCTGATGTTTCAGTTGTAAGAAAATCCTTACTCTGTTAATTGTTTCTAGCAGGTTGATGTGCTCTTTGGATAATATTCTGTTCAGCATCTTTCTGTTATGTATTTGTTTCTGGACTTCTCGTCCCAGCTTTCTCCTAAAAAACTATCTGGAAGTAGCTCTGAGAAGGTTAGCTAGATTGGATTTCAGAAAATACGTAGTGTGCTTCTTTCACTCTGCGCTTGTAATGTAGAGAGCTAAACTAGTTCCTTTTCCTTTTTTGGGAGGTTGTTGGGTTTCTTGTTTTGTTGGGGTTTTAATGTTGTTTTGTTGTGGCTTCATTTTTTACTGACTTAGTTCTGTGAATAGCTCTCTCAGGTCAGGCAAACTGATTTTTGGGCAAAGGCACTATGAGGAAGCAGAAGAGTGCAAGGGATGGGAGGGGGATGTGACTGCCCTGAATGTGTTTCCTCAGCCAAGCAGTCGTTGTCGGTTGTAGTTAAGCAGTCGTGCTTTTCTTGTAGCCCAGGCTAGTAACATCTGCCATGCCCTGCCTGCTTTGCTACAATGGCTTAGGAACCCCAGAGCTGGAAAAACTGAGAAGCCCTGTTTTATTTGTGCATCTGATTTGTTGTCTTTGTTTACTTTAAATCTTTCATTTGCATCTCAGTAAAAAAAACAGTGGCTTTTGCTGGTTTACAGAGAACCTTTGTCTTGCCTGCAGTGAATTTGATGTCTTCTAATAGAGAACAACAAGATCTGCTGTTTCCAGCTAAATATTTTAGGTGTTTGGCATGTATCCACGGTTCTGTACAAAGGTGTCTTATTTTAATGAGATCCTGGAGTCTACAGAATTCTTAGTTCAAGATTCCTGTTTCTTTTGCTTAGCTGTGGTGTGCAGCCGGAGTCAATCTCACGGGATGGAGACCTTTGGAGCAGGAGCCTGGGAATGGGCAGAAATTGGACCCTGGACGTGATCCCCTCACCTGTGATAGGGAAGTGGAAGGCGAGAACGACAAAAGTAACCATACGTCTCCTGAAAAGAAAAAGGTCAGAAAAAAAAAAATGGATTTTTTTTCCCCTTCCAGTGTTTTTTCTCATTCCAGCCATGACATGCCCCATCTCTCAATGCCTTTGTACTAGGCTATATAATGCTTTAACTTGTACTTCTGAGGCACCGTCTTGTGGGGCAGCATTCTGCTGTTCTGGCTCTTCAGTAACTTTCTCTGTGATTTGGGATAAATCATCCAGGATAAAATTCTCCAACTTCTGCTTTTGAAATGCCCTGGTTTTTAATATTCTTAAGTGTTTGGGATTTTTTTTTTTAAGAACCAAGCTGGAATTTGCAGATGATAATACGATGTTTTATCCTTTGTGGTTGTGGGTTTTCTCCCCATGACTGTCTTATACTGCTGCCATATAGTCTTCTGAGATCAGCTTGCTTAAGCTGGTAGGTTGAGTGCATACTGAGCTCCATGGTATTCTGACTGAAGTGAATGTTCAGTGATACATGAGTAGACATCTCAGAAGTTAATGGTCAGACTTTAGCCCTAAGGAGCCAGATAGGCTCTTTGACCAGTGTTCCAGATGCTGGTGCAGCAACATGAATGAAATTTGCGTAGCTCATATTGTTTATTTGCATCAGCTGGGAAGAAACTTGGCTCTTTGAAGCTGGCATTGTGGTATTTGCATGTCTAAACGTTACCAAGCACTAATACGCTCAGTCTGATTTGAGAGGAGCATTGATTCTGCCCATGTGTTTGCTCTCCTGAAGGCAAAGGAGCTCCATGAAATGGATGCCACATCCAGTCGTGTTTGGATCCTCACTAGTACACTGTCAACAAGTAAAGTTGTAATTATTGATGCCAATCAGCCTGGCACAGTGGTGGACCAGTTCACTGTCTGCAATGCTCATGTGCTCTGCATCTCTAGCATCCCTGGTAAGTGGGGCCCAGGCACTGGCTGTAGTCTCACAGGGTCTACCTTCTCTACTGAGGAATGATAAATGTAGTGTCCTCACTTCAGAACTAACCCTTGTACTCTGCTGCATGTAATTGTCCCTCAAAACCATAACTCAGATCTTGCCTTCTTGTAGGTCCCTTCCATGGAGATCCTTCACTGTTGAACATTTACTAAGTCATTCTTTTCGCACATAAAGGATGGCTCCTTGGAGCAAGAGTGAGCCTTGCCCAGGTTTGGGAGGGCTCTGTAGCTGGCCTGGATGTTGATGCTAGGGATGAGATGATTCACCATGAAGTTGACTAATGCTGTGGTGCCTTCCCAGAGTAGAACCCCGAGGATCAGCATCTTCTACCCGAATGGGTACCTCAGGAGTACTGCTATATTTAAATTAGCAGTGACAGCTAGATTTATGGGAGAATCTGTTCTTTGCCCTTCAGCGGCCAGTGAGAGTGATTATCCTCCAGGCGAGATCTTTTTGGAGGGAGATGTAAATCCTGAAGAGTCGTCTGGAACAGATGGTGTCTTGGCAGGAATTACTCTGGTGGGCTGTGCAACTCGCTGCAATGTGCCACGAAGCAACTGTTCCTCGCGTGGTGACACACCTGTGCTGGACAAGGGACAGAGTGAGTTTTGGGGCATAAACTTTAATAGTAGTCCAATTATAGCTAGTCCCATATGAGCTTATGGTCTTACAGCTATATCATCCTGTCCTTGAGTTATCTGCTTCAGAGGCCTCAAGAAGTTTCTTCTTGTGGCACAGGAAGACTGAAGCCCATTTTGGTACATTTCTCTTTAGAGCCCTTCTTTTCTCTCAAAGGGATCCACATCCTGCAGCCCTGTGGGTGTCATATAGCAGAGTATTTTGGACAGGTCATATGTTTGCCCTGCTGCAGTTACTTCTGTTCTCATTGCTTTCTCCTCTGAACCACTGTCTTCTCATGAAGTCAGTTAAGACCATGAAAACCATAATGATGCCCTTGGTGACTCCATAGTGCAGTAGGCAGCCCTGGAGAACTTCTGATGTTTTGCTAGTCACAGATTGTGCCTTGTTTTAAAATAGCCTCTGTTCCCCATCCAAGCAGGAAACACTGGATGAGCTGCTGTCTGTGATGCAGGCGTAGGGCTTGACTGAATTTGGCAAGGAAGGATAAATTACTGAAGTGACAGCCTGATTTCTGTGTAGCTAACTTACCAGCTCATTCTCCAGAACATCTCACACTGTGCTTTGTCTTATAGGTGAGGTGGCTGCTGTCTGCAATGGGAAGATCAACCAGTCGCAGTCTACTGAGGAGGCAACAGAAGCTACAGAGGTACCAGAGAATGGTACAAGTGAGGCAGAGCCTGCTCAAGCCCGGTCGGGGCCCCTCACGGAGCATGTGTTTACTGATCCTGTCCCTGCACAGGCACCTCTTAGGCAGAACGGGTAGGCAGCCTGGGGCCAAAGTGCCAATGCAGTTACTTATCAGCTCTGTTTTCAGAAGCTTTTTGATAGATAAAATATCAAACATTTTTCAGTTTTGTGCCCAAATAGTATTAGAGATGGGATGATAGAGAGAGAAAGGAAATGAAAATAAACATGGTTCAGCCTGCAGCAGGCTATGTCAGCTGTCAAAGTACAAATACTTGATCTCTCAGTACAAATTTAGACCCACTGTTAAGGCAGATCTGCTAAAGTACATGTACACTAAATGTTCTTACTGAAGGAACTTACTGATTCATTTGTAAAAATGATGATTTATTTATTCTAGTAGCACCCCTCATGTACAGAAAAGACCCAAAAATGAGTCTGGTATGATGACCTGAGGAGCAAGGTGAAAGCCTTGGATACAAATTGTTCCTAAATGACCAAGATTTTCTTAGTTGTTTTTGTTGAAGTTGGCAATGAACAGAGAAAATATTGTTAAGATAATAGTACTGCTAAACAGTTAAGTTCTATGGATTTTGAAGTATTTGCTATTTGTATTGGTGGGGAAAAAAGGAAGTTTTGCAAATTGCAGATTTCAGAGTCAAGGAATTAGAAAAGAAGGAAGTGATTTGTGTATACAAGGGCCATTATCTGCTTGTGAATGCCAGACTGAGACTGTAGATGGGCATTCTGTGCATTGCTGCTACTAAAGCCTCTGACAACATTCTTTTACCTCTTCAGGGAGAACGGGCAGCTGAAGACAGAGTCAAGCACAACACTGCCAGATCAAGAGTTGAATGGAGATGCTGCTGGGACTTGTACCAGTGCTGCCCCCACCATGTGGCTGGGAGCACAGAATGGCTGGTAGGTTCCCCTTGGGCTGGCAGATCTCTGTCACCTCTGTACTCTGGGCATCTCTTTTCGTGTCTGCACACCTTTGATTCACTTCTTGTTTCTGGAGTAGGTTTTCATTGCTCATTGTTGTTCTGAGCCCTCAGCTCAACGTAGGCACAGGCATTTAACCTCACTTTCTTATCTAACCTCCAACTTTTCTACCAGAAGAAATGACTCAAGCCTAGTCAGGCTGTGCTGCTAACTCTCCCCAATTTGTCCTTTCTCACAGGCTTTATGTGCACTCGGCTGTATCCAACTGGAAGAAGTGTCTGCACTCAATAAAGCTGAAGGACTCTGTACTAAGTCTGGTGTAAGTGTGCATGCCAAGGCATGCTGAAGAAGGTTCAGTGCCTAAGCAATATTTTAGATAGTGGTAGCAGCTCTTTTTCAGTTATCTTTTCATTTGCTCTTCTAAGTACCTTCGTTTGTGAGGAAGATTTCCCTAGATTTTTGTTACTGGAAAGCCTCATACTGAACTGTTTTCCTGCTCAGCCGCAAACGTGACCCAATTCAGTGAAGAAGGTACTAAACTAGCTTAGCAGGATCAGGAGGAAATAAGTGGGGAAGAGAAAGACAAAATTTTACTAGGGTGTAAATTAGGTGGCATTTGTTGAAGTCAGTAGAGTTTGTAGTATGAAGGAGAAAGTAACCTCAATAGGACATCTATGGATGACTTTACATGACCCTTGGCCCTTGCAGGATGTTCCTGCAAGTGCTAATCTGAATGGGAATTGCAGAGAGAACATAAAGATGGTGTGTATGGACCACAGAATCATAGAATGGTTAGGGTTGGAAAGGACCTTAAAGCTCATCCAGTTCCAACCCCACTGCCATGGACCGGGACACCTCCCATTAGACCAGGTTGCTCAAGGCGCTGCCCAGCCTGGCCTTGTACACTGCCAGGGATGGAACAGTCACCACTTCCTTGGGCAGCCTGTGCCAGTGCCTCACCACTCTCACAGTAAACAATTTCTTCCTCATATTTAACTAAATTCCCCCTATTTAAATTTGAAGCTATTGCCCCTTGTCCTATCACTGCAGTCTTTGATGCAGCATCTCCAGCATCCTTGTAGGCCCCCTTCAGATACTGGAAGGGATCTATGGGGTCTCCACGCAGCCTTTTCTTCTCCAGGCTGAACAGCCCCAGTTTTCTCAGCTCCCTGATCATCTTCGTGGCCTCCTCTGGACTTGCTCCAGCAGCTCCATGTCCTCCTTATGTTGCTTTATCAGCTCCATGTCTTTCTTATGTTAGGCACAGCAGAACTGCACAAAATACTCCAAACGGGGTCTCACAGGAGCAGAATAGGGGGTAGAATTGCCTCCTTTGACCTGCTGGTCCCGCTTCTTTGGGTGGATGTCAGAAAGGATTTGTTAGTTCCTTACTTCTACAGACTTTTGTAAGTATTTACTTTTCTGTGATTTCAGGCATGTGAAAGGGAGGGTCCTTGTTGCTCTGGCAGATGGAACACTAGCCATATTCCACCGGGGAGAAGGTAAGAATCAGTGTATTAAGATTAAAACAAACCTGCCTGAAAGTGTAGCAGTGGATTAAGTGCTATTCTGAGTTGAGAAGGAAATGTGCTGGCTTGCCAGAGTACAAACCTATGGTTAAAATGCATAACTATTATACACATGTATTCGTAATCCTAAAACATCTACACCATTTCATGAGCTTTTCTGAACAAAAATGTATGTATGTGCTGTGTAGCACACGCAGAGTAAATGCAACAGTTCTAGGAATACACATGCTGTGCAGTTGTTGAGGCATGCTTGGTAAGTGTAATGCATTTGGACCACATCAGTGTTACTGTGCATTCAGCTCTAACAGGGCATGCACAGGGAGCTCCACACAGCTCAGACTGTACCTGAGCATATCATCTGTGCAGTTGATTTGCCTGATCAAACAAGCCTGCTGCTTCCCAGAGAAGCTGGACTCTGTTAAATACTGGAATTGGTCACTGCATACACAGCAGGCAGAGCTGGGATTTACTGGAAGTCTGGAAATCCCAAACAGATGACATCTTTGCATTACACTTGATTAGTTTTTCTTGTTGCAAAAAAGAGATGTTCAGGTAATGTGACATGCCTTGTCTTCTTCACTGTTGTAGGTTTTATTTCACTATCACTTGGGCAGTTTCTGATCTGTGTTCATACCTAAAAGCACATGGGAATTTGACTAACGTTTGCATATTAAGAACTTATTTATTCATTGAGTAGCAGTTTATATAGGAAGCTGAAATACAGAGATATCCTGTTTTGTGCAGTCTGAATTTTGATTCAGCCTTGTCATGAATTCAAGGCTGACCATTGACATATAAAACTTGTTCCATCAGAAACAGGATAAAGCTGCATGATGCAGAGGCCATCTGTCTGTGAATGACACAGTATCTGCCTGGTTAGCTAGAAAATAAGCCTGGGAGGTGGGAGATCTGATTCCTTATTCTGGATTTTGACACTTCGAGGGAATTGTCTGTGATACGAGGAATCCTTACTGCAAGGACTATATTGTCCATTTCCTTTAAAGTTTCTGCATAGTCCTGTTAGGCTGTCTTTCCTCTTCCGCTTCTGGTTTTGTTGTAGTTACTAGAGAAGCCTGTTCTCTTCATTACAATAAAAGGATGTTTAATTTAGCCTGATTTGGAAAGCTTTCAGCCCACCAAACTAAGCATTATTGTCGTGTGTTTTATAAGTACAAGGCTGGCCCAAAGTAGTAGCATAGATTCATGGGAAGTTCACAGACGTAAGCAAAACGTGCATTTGAGTGTTACTAAGCCTGCATACCTAGGTATATGTGGAAAGGTAGAGGTATTGTATACTGACATGTCATGAAGGAGATGCGTATTTCCATGCTTGTTTTTCACCTTAGATGGTCAGTGGGATCTCAGTAATTACCACCTAATGGACCTCGGTCACACTCACCATTCCATCCGTTGCATGGCTGTTGTGTATGATAGAGTCTGGTGTGGCTACAAGAATAAAATCCATGTTATCCAACCTAAGACAATGCAGATTGAGGTAAGAGAGCAAATGTGTGTATATGCATGCACATGTTTATATTGTATTTATTCTTATAGCTATATTCTGCTGAGTGTATGGAAATGCAGAACCTTTATATTATCATTGCTGACTGTAGGACCCAAACTGTCAATCTGGATCATGCTATGATCCAGTCTGCCAGGAGGATAGTATTTATTCCTTCCTCCCTTTCCAGAAGTTAAATCTTTAGATAAGTCTAAACTGAGAACCTTCTTTATCTTTACTAGTGAGCCTATGAGGCCACATGCTGTACGAATGTATGTGCATGCTTTACAGCAGCCTTTCATACATGGTCTAAGACTTCTCTGTCTGTAGGGATTGTGGCAGAAGGGGAGCCCTGGTGATCCCATGTGCGTAAGAGAAAAATGATGTTTAGAGCCGTTTGGTTGAAATTCAATACACTGGTGTTGGTACAAGCCTATTTGACAGTGCTTGGAGTAATTCTAATCAAAGGGAGAAGTGCTGAATCTGAAGTTCACATGAATGAGCCAAGGCATTTTGGTCTTAGGGGCTTATTCTGGAGTTGTGTGTTTTCTTTTTCTGCCAAAGACGTTGAAAGCTCTTGGTTTCTAAATGTTCTTGCTCCTGAAGTGGTCTGCAAAGACCATAATCTCTGCAGAGTCACTATACAACTCAAGTGAGGGATTTTCTGTATACTGTAGTGAATTTCTAAGGTCAGCTAGCATTACCACATTTTAACCAAGAGCTTTGAAACCCGAACAAGTGATCTCAGTTGAAGACAATGCAGTATACATGTAGATAATTGCAGACGTTTTGTAAACTCATGTTGGTCCATCTATTTGGCATTTCAGAAATCCTTTGATGCCCACCCTCGGCGGGAGAGTCAGGTGCGACAGCTGGCATGGATTGGAGATGGAGTATGGGTCTCCATCCGCCTGGACTCCACCCTGAGGCTTTACCATGCCCACAGCCATCAACATCTGCAAGATGTTGACATTGAGCCTTATGTCAGCAAGATGCTAGGTGAGGAAGTAGGGACTGTGAGTAAATGATCTGTTGCTTACTGAGATCAGAGAGAAATCAAAATTCACAAGCAGACCTTGTCCAAAGTCATAACTGATTCTCTGTTTCTTATTCATGCTTACAAGGCACCGGAAAGCTGGGCTTTTCATTCGTGCGGATTACAGCCCTGCTCATCGCTGGCAACCGCCTCTGGGTAGGGACAGGGAATGGTGTCGTCATCTCCATTCCACTGACTGAGAGTAAGTGCCATTGACTGTAAATATTGCTGCACCCCCCAAAAAAAAGAATTTACTTGTTATTTGTGCAGCACGGAGGATGGCTCTGGCATATAATGCTTTCAGACATTGTTACTCTGAACCTGACACACCTTTGAACAGTGTTCAGAGAGAAGAGCCCTGAGTATGAGCAGCCCTGAACTTGGCTTAACTCTTTCTTACAAAGGAATAAAGTGTTCAGCTGAACGGATTTAACTTGTTTAAAACCAAACAGATCTTTGTTACTGTCCCTTTCAGTGCAGTTGAAACCATTTCCCTCTGGGGGGACGAGTGACATCTCTACCATCTGTACAGTTGTCTTTTTTGAGCATGGCCTTGACAGAGCAGACTCATGTAAACTGATTCCGTAGCTACTGGAAAGCAGGAGAAACAGCTTTGGGAATTGTAGGAAGTCTCCAAAAGGAGGCCACATTCTGAGATATCATGAGAGAGAATTTTATTTTGGCATAGACATCTAAACATCTCTATAACAGCATTTTCCAGAAACTGACCTTAGAACAGCTTAATTTACTCAAATTAGAGCTCAGGTTTATCAGTCAAGTAGAAATTGGTATCCCAACAGTAGTAGTTAATAGCTGCTATCTCCGGAGTTGGAAGTTTGGTTGACACTCCTCGTAATCTTGTTCTGTACCTGTCAGACAGCATCTTATTTTGAAGATCTGTGCCAGTTTATAGTGGGGGAGTAGGATTTGCATTCAATAGAAAGTAGTCAAATTTACATTTTCTTGCCACTGCTCGCAGGAAAGCTGAGAAGCAGATAGCTCTTATATAAAAAGAGGAGCGGACCCGTTGCAATCTTCCTGGAGCTCAGGGCTGAGATGGTCTCCTAAGGCTAGTGGAGCTGGATATGCCTGGGGCTGACACCAGAAAGCCAGTGACACAGTCATCTCTGTGCATTGCAATTTTGGTCTCATTTCTGAATCCCTGATTTAAAGCCCATTCTTTCCTGGGGCTGCTGTCCTAATTCTGAGTTAAGCTTGTTCTCTGCTGTAAGCCAGTTGCATTATCTTTTGGTGTTTCTGTAAAAATGTGGTAAGCAGTAAGGTGTCCCTGGAAATTTTAGCAGTAGATCCTTGTGGCCATGGTCCCTCTCCCATCTCAGATATTACATTTGTCCTTGTAAGATAAGAGCAAAGTGAGCAAGAACAGTGTTGGTGTGAACTACTCTGAGCCTGTAGCTTCTGTTGCAATTTCTCTTAAGTTTTATACATTTCTGTTGCTCCCTGAGTTTTCTCCCAGTAATCACCTTTTTCTTCTCTCTTGCCCTGCCTGTCTATTCCCGTGCCCTTTTGTGTCCCCACTCCTTGCCTGTGCCTAGCTGTAGTCCTCCACCGAGGCCAACTCCTTGGGCTCCGGGGTAAGTCCGTTGCCTCCTTCCTTCAGCTTTCACTCCGTTTGCACCCATTCACCCTTCCAGTTGCTTTCCCACCCTTCCATTCTGCCATTCAGCTCTCTCCATCCATTTTTCCTCATCACTCTTTCATTTTAAGTTGCATCTAAGAAAAGCAACCAGAGACAGTAAGGAAAATACCCGCATTTGCCATGGCTAAAATCATTTTCATCCATCTCATCAGCTGACATGGGGGGTGGAGGGGGGCTGAGTTAGGAGTACTTTATTCTTCATCTGTAGTTCTTTTATTGTGGTAGGCCAGGTTTGAGATGGGGACTGTAAAGGTTCATTCAGAGGATTCCAGGAAGGAGTAGACTGTTCTTCCAAGGTCTTCCTTGGTCATCCTTGGCTTTCTAAGGATGTGTCTTATCAATTCCCAGGCCAATGGCAGTAGGTTTTGTGGCAACTGCCAGCTGCAAGTAATCAAACAAGACTTCTAACCAGAGGGGACTGAAGAAAAGAAAGATTTGGGTTTGTGCCAGTTAAGGCAGGGTCTGAGTTCTAATTTGAGCTTACATTAGCTTTTCCAGGGTTTAAGCAAACCAAAGCACACAGGTGCAGAGAGCCTTCATCTTGGGGATCTTCCCCTGCACATGCTGATTCTCATTTTCCATCAAAATATTTGTACTTTTCTCGCTATCCTGACTCAAGCCTGATGAATAAAAGTTTCCTTTGCAAAAGTCACTTAACTGAAATCTAGCCCAAGCCAAATAGAGATAATTAATAATTATGGATAATTAAACAAACAATCGAGTTCTCACACAGAAAATGAAAGCCTGATCTTAGTACTGCTTCTGTTTTACTGGTAGGGGTGCACACAAAAGGAAAAGTATCTCCCATGCTGAGCTCTGAGCAGTGGTATCTGTTCCTTGCTGAGTGGAAGCATTCACATTCTCAGAGCCTGCATGCAGGCCCTTTAGCCCACCTTGAAATCCTTGGAAACTGGATGGTGAATATCTTTCAAATGTTCACTGCTTGAGTAGCTGATCTTCTGGTGTCACAGCTAAATCAAGGTTAAGGAAGGACCTTATTCCACTGCTCTGACGTTTACTGGGCTAAGAGGCCTTCACCAGATCCAGAGATTGCCTTCAGCACCCTGTATGCTCGGGGCTTGGCCTGAGCGAAGTACTTGACTTGGAAACTGAGCAACTTCACCAATCTAGAAAATAGCAGGAATTCTCCTCCAGGTACCCATAGTGTCTCTATGTACAGTGGACACCTTTGGATACCCTGCCAGGTATGAAAGACCCAGGTCGATCCTAGGACAGCAGGTCATTTCTAGAGGCTGGACAGGATTGCTGGTGGTGAAGAGGCTTTTACTTGGACAGCTCAGAGACCTTGTTTAGCTTGCTTTAGGATTACTCTTGCTCAGCACATCCAGGGATGTGTACTTCATTAGAAGCCAAATACTATATTTAATGAGAAAATGTAGTTTGTTATCATTGGTTGTTATCAGCTTAAGAGAGAGGGACTACATAGTCTAGTGGTGTCTCCTTCATCACATCCTTTATACAAGATCTTTAAAGAGACCTGTGCCTTTAAATGTTTTTCTTCATGGCTCACTAGTTTTCTCTTTGGCTGAGTCCCTTCTGTAAATGGAACTCAAAGCCTTGGCTGACAGTATTCCTCCTCCCTGTCCCCAGCCAACAAGACCTCACCAACCTCTGGAGAGGGCAGCCGCTCTGGTGGGGTCATCCATGTGTACGGTGATGACAACAGTGACAAATCTGCCAGCAGTTTTATTCCCTACTGTTCCATGGCTCAGGCACAGCTCTGTTTCCACGGCCACCGGGATGCTGTCAAGTTCTTCGTCTCTGTGCCTGGTAAGGATCAGCATAGCCAGTCCTTGTGAGGGTCTTGTCCTGCTGTCCATTCTGCAGCAGGGGCTTGAGCTGATCTGCAGACACCCATCCATGCATTCCTAGTACTTGCAGGTCACTGTGACACAGAGTGTTTAAACACTGTGGCTTAAACTTCAGTGTTTAAACTCTGCGTTTAAACTGCAGTGGCTTCCAGATTCCACCAGCAGAAGGAACTGGCCTGCCCACTTGTGTTTGTGTGTGTGTGAACTGCACTGGGGGTGAGGAGAGCCACTGACAGCACCTGTGTCCTCTCCCAGGCAATGTCCTAGCAACCCTGAATGGGAGTGTGTTGGACAGCCCTTCGGAGAACCCCAGCACAGCGGCCACAGAGACTGAGGGGCAGAAGCTGAAGAACGTCCTGGTGCTGAGTGGAGGGGAAGGGTACATTGATTTCCGGATTGGTGAGTGCCTATGGTGGGAGGCATCTGAAACAGGAGGGGTGTGCAGGGTCACGGACATGGAGAAGAGGGATTGGGGCTGTGGGAAGTGAGATTTGAAAAGCACTGATCTCTCTATCTCCTGCCTCTGGCTGTGAGGGCAGATAGTGAGCATTTTCTTTGTAGAGCACAAGGCTGCGAGACTCTGCCCCTGCCTGTGCCTGCCATGCCACACAGTCTGTTAATATCCCTGGAAATTAAAAAAACATCTGTGCCGCTGGCTCCAAACATTGCTACTGCGCTGTGGTCACCTGCGCTGCTCGAGTGCGCTCAGTGTTACAAACATCAGCTTCCCCAAAAGGAATTCCCTGCTGTTGGAGATGGCTTGTTCCTTCCACGCAGTCCTGGTTCAGAAAAGCACCATGTTGCTATAAATGTTCTCCAGGCATAACGGAAGATCTCAGCTCATGCTGTCTGTTGTCAGGCTGCCAAGACTGTATCAGGGGTATAGGTCTCTTTGGAAGCATTCCAGAACAGTGGAATTCAGGATTTTCTTTCTTGCCTTTTTTACTCTGTTTTCTCTCTTCAGGGGATGGAGAAGATGATGAGACAGAGGAGAATGCAGGAGACGCCACCCAGGTGAAGCCAGTACTTTCAAAGGCTGAAAGGAGCCACATTATTGTGTGGCAGGTATCATACATCCCTGAGTGAGAATTTCTCCTTTCCCACCAATGTAAGTGTCCCTCCTCCCGCCTGAATGCCAAGATGTACATACAGAACGCCTGCATTATACCTACTGCTGGAAACCGACCCCAGACAACTGCAACGGCTCCTGCCTCGGACTGTGACCCCCTTCTAACCTCTGAACTTGCAGCTTTCATCTTGGGCCCTTGCGCTTTCTGCGTGGTTGGGTTATTGTTCTGCTCTGGAGCTGGCATGTACAAGGAGAGAAATGGCAGTGCATTGATGAAGTGAGGCTGGAGCTAGAACTGTGCAAAGCCTTTGCCCAGTGCACAGGAGCTGGCAGCTGATGGTGGTGGGTCAGGTTCTCCGGCAGGTTGCCTCACTTCCACCTGCATGAGAAAAAAGTGCATCCCCTGCCAAAGCAGTGGTGATGAATCACAACTGCTACAGCACCCTCGCAGAAATCCTTTCTAGTTCACCAGTGGACTCTTCACCTTATCTACCCTTAAGCACAGAATAATGTCCCACAGACTTGAGAGCAAGCAGGTCCAAGGAACCCTCAATAGAACAGTGTCAGGGCTTGGGCAGCACTTCTGCTCTTTGGCTGGAGAAGGCAGCAGTGCCATTACTGTAGGGAACACATCCTCCAGACTTGCAGGTGGAAAGTCTCCCCCCTCTGCTGCTGTTGCCACAGCAGTCATACGCTGGCTGACTGCATGTGACTGGAGAGGATTGGGTGGTGGTCTTAGGTGGGAGATGAGTGTTTGATGGTGGAGGCTACAGAGCCTTTGGAAACTGGTAGTAAAGGGGTACTGGAACCTTGCTTTTTTAAGAGCAGAAAAGGCAGCAATGCTTTTAACTCCCCCTTCCAGAAATGCCAGGCAGAGAAGAATTCTTGAGTTATTTCTCAGATGTTCAGGAGAAAGCTCTCTCTGCATAGCATTTGTTGGCTTTTAAAGCACAGGTGAGGGCAAATGATGTTGGTCTGCTGTGAAGTCTGCATTAACACATTGAGGTTACCTGGACTCACAAGACTGTGTCCCCATCACAGGAACTGCTGGAAGGAGATGTCTGTTTTCCTTCATGCTGTGGCTGTCAGTTAGGAAAGACATTGTAGGTGCAGTCGAGGTATAGAAAGGTTGTGTATCACCTGAGGTCACACAGAGAAAGGAACTGAGGCCAGATCTCCCAACCTCTTTTAGCTGACATCATGATCATTGACTTTATTACTAAGTAATTTCAAAAGCTGGAAATTTCTGACTCCTGAAAAGAATTGACAACCCCTGAGAGAGGTCCCGCTGGCCCTCGTCGTGTGAGCAGTGCTGGGGGATTGCAAATGTGTGTCCTCCTTACAAGAGAAGCATCAAAAAACGGGGCTGGGGAGAGTGGTTTTGAGATCCAGATGCAGAACATGGCCGCTTCAGATGTAGAGGCAATGGTTTGTCCTCCCTTTCTGACCCTGGAAACAGTCCTGTCTCCATAAGAACAAGTTCTCTTTCCTTTGAACGCTCCTTTCTGGATGTGTAGGACTAGATCAAGTAGCAGTTGTTAGCAATGGATTTGGAAGCTCCTAGTGGTCATCTTGTCTGCACATCTCTGAGTTGTGCAGCACTCGGAGGTTCATGGGGATGTTCTTGTGCCACTGTGATGGTATGGGAACAGGGGGGGGAAGCCTCCATCTCCTCGAAGGCTCCTGGCTGTGTCCTGTGCTTGTTGCCACAGACCAGGCTGCCCCCAAGGCTGGTAGTCTAAAGCTACGCATGTGCTGCAGGGATGCAGTATTCCCAAGGGAAGCTCCGACATATGGCGTCTGTCTCGGTGCAGCAGCACTGAAATGATTTTTGGATCCACAGTTCAGTAAAGGCTTTGGCCCACATTTCCTCTGCAAGGAGGCAAGAGGACATCTCTGGACAAGCCACCAGAGCAGAGCCACAGCGTTGCCCATGACGCGCACCCACACCAAGGTGGAACACAGCTGGATAGTGTCCTCTGGTCATTGGCACACTGGGCTCTGTGGCTGGCATGTGGTGAAGGGATGCTTGGAGTCACCACCTGCATGTGGGAGGACCTTTTCACCAGGGACATGTCACTGGGGCACTGCTGACTGTGCCAGGCCTCGTTCACTTCCCCAGAATGCTTTCTGGTAGGAGGAGCTCTTTGGATCACAACAGAGTGCATTGATGTTAACAAGATCAACATTCAGAGCACAAATTCTAGAGACATGTAACAGTTGGTCAGTTAGGGCCAGGTAAAGTTTAGGATTTGGGCATATTGAAGAGGAGAGGAAAAAAAAAAAGCCCTAGTAGGGCCCAGTTCCTTGGCTGTGTTGACTCTATAGGGAAATAGAGAATTGCAGTGTTCTTACCTCTTACTGTTTGCTCTCTTATCTGGTTTTAGCAGTTGAAGTGACAGTACTTGGTTTCCTGTCACCCCCTGGGCCCTGCCAACATTAAGGAAACCCATTTCAGGCCTCTGCCAACAGGTTCCTTTCCAGCTCGGTGCATGGTTTCCTCCAAGAGAAGGACGTGTCCAAGAGGGGCAGCTACAGCTGAGTAGAACCAGCCTCTGCTGTCAGCTCCTGGAGGCATTTGGTGGCTGCTGGGCAGCAAGGTGAGAACTGACTGGCTTCAACACACTTCCCTGTCATATCTCCACTGTGATGTATGTAAAGTATCTTGTATGTTACAAAAGGATTTTAAAAAGTGTCTTAAGGCCTGTAAACTCCGCTCTTTGGTCTGAAGATGGCATTCTGTAAAGAGACTGCTGTATGAATACGTTCCCATGCTTTGTCCCCTACGCTATCAAACAATAAACCATATCTGTTCTGTATGTAATAAATGTGTTAACATCAACAGATGTGGGACATCTTGTTCCTGTAGAGGCACTGGCATTTCTGCTCAGTGTTTAATAGCGGGAGGACATTTAAAAGGGTGGGAATGGTAGCTCAGGTGTTCACCATTAAGCATTTTAGTGGCAAGGAATGAGATGTGGATTGCTTGCTGGGTTGGAGCAGAAGGTCCTGCAAGCCACAGGTGCAGCCGGTAGCTTCCTCCCCCTGTCAGAAGCAAAAAGGGAAGAAGGAAGTGGTTCTGCTGTCATGGGGTGTCCTCTTCAGGTGAGCTGCAAGGGTTAACACATCAGGCTCAGCTTTCAACACTCAATTTGCCATTGTCCTCTGTCAGTACCAGGTGGTACTGACACAGGGATGGGTGACCTTCAATACTGCAGGCTCCTTTTAGTCCCAGCAGCACTTAGACACATTCATATTTATTTTGTAGAACTGCATTAATTCAATATGTACAGCTTAATTCAATAGCTGTACATAGCAACAAGGGAGCCACCTCCTTACACCCCACCAGGGTCCCTGAGGTGAGCCACCTCCATGACTCCAGGCCAGGTGAAGTACCATGGGCACTGCTCCTGGGGTAATGGAAGCACCATTGGAAATAGGCCCTGGGACCAGTCCCGCACCCCTGGGGCTGCAGTTGGAGCAAGGCACTGGATGAAATGCAGCTGTGTCTCATGCCCAACTGGGTGGTTGCCATCATCCATGCACAGGTTTGAGAGTCCTGGCAGACCTCTTGGTGTGTTCTAGGCAATGAATCCAGCACACAGGAAAACTGGGCTGTGCAGCTTTCCAAAAGGAAATCACCTTAGTGATGGCACAAGGCTCTCAGGTTGCCCAGGACTCTGTGTGAAGGCAACACTGCACCCTGCCAAGTGTAAGACCCTGAGGTCACCATCAGGCCATGATTGTCCTCATCAGCCTGCACCCATACATGGGCCCTTTTCACATGGTCCAGGAGTCTCATTTAAGCACTAGCTGGGGCCTTTAGTCTGTGCCTGAGCTGTGCTGTAGCTGTGCTTATCTCCAGCTGCTCTTAAATGGACCCTTTGGACTTGGGGGTTTGCATTAGATGATCTGCAAAGGTCCCTTCCCTCCCAAGTCATTTTATGATTTTGTGCCTTACAATTTATTATCTCCATTTGCCTTTGCTCCTGGCCGGGCTCCCTGGATAGATGGTGGTCGTGGGTCATTTTTTTGCCTTGCCTGGGGCTGTTGGTGGACCCTGTTAACAGTACTTGGCTCTGCCCTTTGTGGTCAGACTCCATGGGCTTGTGCTGGCGTTGTGCTCAGTTCCTGGCTATGCCGGACAGAGGACTAGGTTGTTATGCTCATCCCACCTAAGTCACATCTAGCCCTCCTCTCCCACATTGCTTGTCCTCAGTTCTGTGCTGCTTCAGTAGCACATAGACCATGGTAAGGACAGTGAGGCATCTGCCCAGCACCTGGCAGTGGAGGCCACAGAAGCCAGAGACACTGTCTTCCATCCAGGGCAGCTGCAGTGGGAAGTCTCACAGTGTTTGTGCTTCTCGCAACACTGTATTTTCCCTCCCCTGGATTCTCTCATTGCTTCTAAAGCCAGTGAAGCAGCTGCCCTGCAGTGCTCCTCCCACAGCAGAGCAATGAGAGCTTAGCTCTTGCCAGCCTTTGCTCCTTGTCATGGGACCAGCTTTTAACTCATGAGAAAAGCCTTTCCCCTTACCCCACAGCAGCTTAAGCCTTTAGGAGCCTCTGCTGAGGAACCCCATGGAAGTCCAGGTAGCTCATGTCAATGTATTTGCTCCTGCCTGATGACAGCCTTTTTCCTGGTAACTGGGGCGACATGTTCCCCTGTCCCATCCAGGCCTGCCATGCACACTGGGCAAGACATGGAGTCCAGTTGCTGCTCTCCCTCAGTAATTCCCTTCAGGTTACTTGTGATTTCAGTACACTGCAGCAAATGGAACAGCACTTCTTGACTACCTACCACAGCAGATTAAAGTACGCCATACTCCTGCCAGCAATTGCTGAGAGTGAGGGATAGGTCACTTTGGGTAAGCTTGGAACCTGAGTTTTCATTGCCCTTGTGGAGCTGTTGGAGCAAGTCCAGAGGCGGCCACGGAGATGCTGTGAGGGCTGGAGCAGCTCTGCTCTGGAGACTGAAAGCTGGGCTGGTTCAGCCTGGAGAAGAGAAGGCTCCTGAAGCGGAGACCTTAGAGCACCTCCCAGTGCCTAAAGGGGCTGACAAGAAACCTGGAGAGGGGCTTTGGACAAGGGCCTGTAGGGACAGGCCAAGGGGGAATGGCTTTAACCTGCCAGAGGGGAGATCGAGATGGGCTCTTAGGCAGAAGCTCTTCCCTGTGAGGGTGCTGAGGCGCTGGCACAGGTTGCCCAGAGAAGCTGTGGCTGCCCCATCCCTGGCAGTGTTCAAGGCCAGGTTGGACGGGGCTTGGTGCAACCTGGTCTAGTGGCAGGTGTCCCTGCGTGTGGCAGGGGTTTGGAACTGGGTGAGCTTTAAGGTCCCTTCCAACCCAAACCAGTCTAGGATTATGCAGTG